TTTGATATTAAGTGATCCTTTTGTAGGACAGCTGCAATAGAAAGAAAAACACAGCGCAAAAATCTATTCGAATAAGGGTTGGGTGAGGAGGGTATTTTTCTAAATATCTAAATTTGCAAAAAATTATCCTTTAAAATTGCACCAACCTCATTCATATAGTCTGTGAATGAAAAAGGATTAACGGAAATTGACTCAGGGGGAATAACTCTAATTGATTATAGGGATTATAGGCGGATCTATGGATTTTGTAATATGGGAAATTAACACTTTCTTCGATAAAAGCCTCCAATTCGAATAGAATTGGATGTGATATTATCTCAGAAAAGTGTAACGCAAACAAATGGTAACTTGAAATTAATTTTATTAAAGTGTGGCGATATTATGGGCACGGCTGTTATTTAGTTTCAAATGCAAAACAAACAATATCATATGGGCAATGGGCAGCCAAGACAAGAGCATGCCCCAATCAAATGCACAAACAACATTCAACATCAAAGCAAATCATATATCAAGGTCATTACCAAAGGTCAAAGTTCATATAGTGGTAAGTCAAAGTTCATACAACATCAAAAGTTCAAAGTTCACAACATCAAAGTTCAAAGTTCACCATATATATATATAGAAAGCATTGACCCTGGGAGGTGCAGAGGTCAAAGCTTACAATATAATTACCAAAATGCCGCTTATACGCCACAAGTTCCCTGAGATGAGGATCAGAATGAAACTCATCCAGGGAACTCCGCCACCATGGTGGGGGTAGAGCGGCATATACGAACAGCCGTACCCAGGACCCTTGCTAATTGGGAAAGCAGGATTGACCATGGGCAACGATAGCCTCAAGTCCCCCCTGGAGAGAGTTTAGAAAAATGTTATTCCCCAACGAGGATAAGTGTACCCCATCCTGTAAAAATAAAGCTGGATCAGGTTTAATGTCTGAATGGCGAATTATTGCGCCCCCAGATTGCAAGACAATTGCAGCTATACCAGAATTAACCCGTTTGCGTGCATTTTCCATAGCTTTTAAATTTGCTGAATAGCGCCATTGGAGACGCGGAAGTATAAATGACCATATAATCCTACTGTTTCGAAAGTGATTCCTTAGAAATAAAACCAACTGCTTTGCAACCACCCTTATTTTTCTGATCGATACATTGCCCAAGTCATTCCCCCCACAATGTATAAGGATGAAATTAGGTACAGGGCCCACCTTTCCAAGAGTTCTAATCTTTTGTTTAGTTTTACTTAACTGGAGGCCACTATAACCCTGCCACCACAGTGAGATGTGTTTTCTTTCTAATGTCAAATTTGTACCACCTGGTCTTAATACAGCTTCCAAAAAGGCGTGCTTGATTATTGATGAACCCACCAACCATATTGTCTGTATATCTAAAATTAGATTAAAACTTTGGTATGCGAATGTATGATTTGTAAGAATCAGATTTCCAACGACCAGATCTCTGAATGTCATGAGTTGAAAATCCTTTTAACGCGAGATCAGTACTCGCGCCGATACGAAAAGAGTGAGATTTGTATCCTGAGATACCAGGCAAATTTAGGTGCTTTACTGCCTTACAAAGTACCCCCGTAAATTGATATCGTGTGAGTGGGGATAAATCGAAGTGTCGAAATAATGGACCTGAACCCTCTGGACGGATGCTGACGTATTTAGTAATGAGCTGATATGGACATGCTACACCACCCTGCTTATCTATTTGAAGTACTGTGCCTTTACCTAACTGGTCCGTTTTCGAATACCGGATAGTCAGTAAGAGAGATTGCGTTTCGTGATTAATGGACAAATTGTCGAATTGAATTGTGTTTTGTTGATCACCTTCTCTTGTATTAACTGTTAATTCGCCAACTCTTAAAAATCCATGAAATGCCAGGGAAAATGCAGCCGAGAAAAGAGCTGTTTCAAAAGCATTGGTACATATTATGGGCAGAACTTGAATAATATTTTAAATTAGCAAAATTGTTTTCGTTATTGGCAGTCTAGTATCTACTTTATGTCTCAAACGTTTCATGCCCTGCAATAACTTTGTAACCAAGAACTCTGGGGTTGGATCGTGAACACTCTGCAATTTACAATAAAATGAAATGGCAGACAAGTATGACCTCACGGTACCATATGCGAGGCCGGATGATGATGAATGCAAAACGAATTGCACGACTGAGTTTAATGTAGGGGGCCATGGCGTGCAATCAATGAGTCTACATACTTTGTAATATGCTGCCATTCAGCCCGATGAGATTTATGTGTGTTTTCAGATACTGAGGCGTCTAGAAGTTTAGCAAACTCAGGCTGGAGATGATGTTGCGGAAAGATAGGGGCACTGGGCAAGGGTGTTCCCTGGCATGTGGAGCTGCTTGTCGGAATCTGGCCCACTGCTTACGAGAAATTGAATCAGCAACTACATTGTCTTTACTTGGTATGTAAACTGCACGAAACAGAATATTATAATTCATAGAAGCAAGGACAAATGGTCTAAGTAGTTTCATGACCCGCTCTGATTTAGAAGTGAGTTTATTTATTATAGCGACTACAGCTTGATTGTCTATATGGAGAATGATCTTTTTATAAGCGAGTTTGTTACCCCATAAATAGACGGCCAAGACCACCGGAACTAACTCTAAAAAGGTCATGTCTTTAAGTAGGTCATTGGACGCCCAGGTCTCTGGCCAAGGGTAAAAACACCATTCCCCTTTGAAATAAGCACCACATCCCAAGTAAGACGAACCGGAACTATCTGTGTAAAAATTAATGTTGTTGTCTGACGTCCACTCAATATCTAAACAAGAATAGATATGGGTTACCCCATATCCAAAGATATTCGACTTTTAGATTTAATATGCTTATCAGTGTTTATAATGACGTTAATAAAAAAACTGCAATGTCTAGGGCCTAGTTATGGAACTGGTGTAAATTTCGTGAGCATGGTGAGGTCACCCAGTCTCCTAACAAACGGTACACATAGGCCTACATGAACCTGTGTCCGCAAGACCAACATTAGCCTTGATCTACACACGTGCGATGGAGCTGTTAAACGCATCCAGCGAGCTCGGAGAAACACGTTTTGTTTTGCCGAGAAGTTACGATGGCAGACAAAACTTTTCTTTTCTTAATTAGATCATATGAATACGAATTCTGATTAATAAAAATTATACAATCCCTGTTGAACTATATATAGTTTGTTCTAACATTTGCATCTGCAACAACTTGTGTTTAAAATGGCCGTGTTAGGAAAATCAAGACCGGATCGGAAAATTCTAAACTGAAAACCTTTTTTGTTTTGAAAATTACTGAAATATGCTAATGTATTCGTCGCAGATATTACTTACATTATTCAAGTTCTATATAAAATGGTAAGCCTATGCTGAACTCCAACACGAACCCGAATGTCCGACCCAGTTCTCGTTTTGCCACACATTTTATCCCCTACAGTTTACAAAGTGTACACACGTGAGCAGAATCCAGCCAGGGATTGAAAATTCCGTCATTTAATAATATACACACACAGAATGATTTATTTTTTCTTAAAAGGAAATTGTATGATAATTAACAGACTATAAACATGTACTTAATACAATTGTTGATATAGTATTATCAATTCATCGGTGAAAAAATATGAATCGAAGAATGACCTAAATATTCTCTATTATCAAACATGTAAAAAAAAAAAAAGGCTGAGGAGGGAGCGAGCGTAGGAATATTGATATTTAGGTCACCTGAGTCACTCAGGTGACCTATTGCTATCTGTTTTTGTCCGTCGTCGTCCGTCGTACGTCGTTCGTCGTACGTCGTTCGTCGTCAATCGGTCGTAAACTTTTGAACATTTTCAGCTTCTTCTCCGCAACCACTGAACCAATTTCAACCAAATTTGGCACAAAGCATCTATGGGTGAAGGGGAACAAAAATTGTGAATTTCATGATCCCTGCCCCCCTGGGGCCTGGGGGGTGGGGCCAAAACCACTAAAATTAATGCAATCTTCAAAAATCTTCTTCTTTACTCCTGGACATCAAGCAGTCAAACTGTTTGCATGATTGTAATCAGCATTGAGTCCTTTACCAAAATTGTGAAATCCATGGCCCTGGGGTCAGGGGTTCTTGTACTAGGGCGGGGCTAAATAAGTATATAGTGAAAATGAATTATTTCTTTGAAAATCTTCTTCTCTGCTCCTGGGTATAAAATAAACTAACTAAGTACATAGTTATGATGAGCAAGAGTGCCCCCAGCTAACACAAAAACATTTTTTAAATGTTTTTAAAACATTTTCAAAATGTTGCGAAAACATTTTTAAAAATGTTTTAATCACGTGATTTTGTATGGTTTTTAAAACGTTTTTAAAACATTTTAGTGAAATATTTCAGCAAAATGTTGTCAGAACATTTTCTTAGAATGTTGCAAAAACATTTTCAATAATGTTTTAATCTCGTGAATTTGTATGGTTTTTTAAACGTTTTTAAAACATTTTAGTGAAATATTTCAGCGAATGTTTCCGGAACATTTTCTTAAAATGTTACAAAAACATTTTTCAACAATGTTTTAATCACGTGATTTTGTATGGTTTTTTAAATGTTTTTAAAACATTTTACAAAATATTTCAACAAATATTTTCATAACATTGTTTTTAAATGTAACAAAAACATTTTCAAAAATGTTTTATTCACGTTCGTTTTAAATTGTTTGGTTTTTAAAACGTTTTCAAAACATTAAAGTCGATGTTACAAAGGTATTTTTCCCGAATTTTTACTTTTTCTCGTTAAATAATGATCAATTTATATTTAAAAAAAAATAAACACAAATTATTTTTAATTTTTGAACCTTTAATACAAACCCATATTCAATATGTTAATCACATTTAAATTCCATTTTCGGTACAAGTTTTGATTTATTTTCTTTCAAGTCACCGGGATTTTAAAGGTTGAAAACGGTGTCTAATCCATTCACTGAATTTTAAAAGAACAGAATCGCAGAAATCCAATGTTCACTGTATAGGTCGAAAAGAGTGGCGGATCTATAAGACTTAGATAGAATCACATACACTGAAAAGGCTGATAAGGAATCTGCCCCTCGGAAAGAATAGCACAATCTGTAAAGATAAGGAAGATTGTGTTTGTATCATCGTTCTAAATCTAATGTATCTTTAAAATGATCAATGAAAATATACAAAAAATATTTTAAATAATTATATCAAATTTAAGTTATTTCCTCATTTGCATTGAAAAAAGCAGAAAAATAATTACTATGACAATATTATTGAAGAGTAATAGTATTTACGTACACCTTTGCCTTCTCCAAAGGCGGGTCTTTTGAATGTGGGAATTTGAAAATACGGATGATGCAACCAACACCATGCTATAAAGAAATTTCATTTTTAAACCAACATATTGTTTGATGATTAACATTTCACAAAGACATTGAATACTTGAATCAGGGATATAATTGTGTTGCCTTAAGAATGAAATATTCAAATCAAATATGTATATAACCTTAACGCTTTGTCATTGCTACATACATTTGTACAAAGTTATTGATCATGCACTGGTAGTATAAAAGTCGTTTTTAAATGATCCTTTAAAGCCTATGATAAAGGAATAATTCTTACCATTCAACGTTAATAAATCCCGAGGTTATTATTGTGGTTTATATGGTGCGAAGTCTTCTCATTCAAATCGGTACGGAGTAAGCGCGCACATCTTGTTTACCAGAATTCAAAATTTGGCCTAGATAAGCAGCAAACCACTATACTCTGTAACGCGCTGCCCAGCAGGAGAATTGCATAATAGGTTATCATGACACTGAAACTGACCAGTGTGCCAATCCCTATCTAATGCTTCAGAGTAAAATTCTGGGAGTGGATCACAGATTTGATGAAGAACATTTTTTTTAAAATGACATTTAAGAGTTTTATTTAATGCTTATGATTTTATAAATGTATTGATATTTTAATTTTTTTTGATTGCATATCCTTTCATTTATTGATTTTTTTATTTGTTTAATCACGGGACTTTATAAAAATTATGTCTGTCTAGAAATCATTATAAAATACTGGAAAAAATCTTTCAATTAAAAAAATTCTACAATTCCTCATTTTAACACTATTCTTTCTATATATTCTTTTTTTTTCTTCATAAACTAAATTTAAGAAAATTGCAATCATACATTATTTGAATGTTTTAAGAAATTTTGAAAAATAACAGCAGCAATGAAAAATGAAGTCTTGAAAAAAAGAAAACACATTAAATTGAATGTTCTAAGATCATTCTCACAACATCTCTTAAAGTTACTTAAAGGAATTAAATTGTGCCGCAAATGTTTCAGAAACATTTTGAAAATGTTTCCAAAAAATGTAACAAAAACTAAAATAATTAAAATAAAAATAAATAAAATGTTTCAATTGTACTGAAAATAATTATTTTCGTTAATGTTTTAAATAAACATTTTCACTGCCTAGGCCGAAAAATATCCGGAATTGAATGTCTTTAACTAACAGCGATATTAAGAATGTTTTAAAAATATTTTTGAAATGTTCCTTACAAATGTTTCAGAAACGTATATGCAATGCTTCCGATTTACACAATAAGAATGTTTCATTTCATGTTTTAAGAACGTTTTTAAAACGTTTTATAAGATCTTTTATATTTGGAAGCTATAAATATCCTTAAATGAATTAAGAATGTTTCAAAAACATTTTGACAACGTTCCTTCCAAATGTTTCAGAAACGTTTTTATGCAATGTTTCAGAATTATGGAAAAGGAATGTTTCATTTCATGTTTTTAGAACGTTTTGAAAATGTAATATAAAAATCTGTGATATTTGAAAGCTAAACATACCTTTTGAAACATTTTTAAAACGTTTCAAAAATATTTTAGAAAAATGTTCCAAAAGGATTTAATCATAAGCTTCTTGAAAACATTTTTAAAATGTTTTTAAAATGTTTTAATGAGAAGAGGAAATGTTTTAAAAACATTTTTAAAATGTTTAGTTTAAAATGTTTCGAAAAAACCTTTTTACAACACCAATAAAATGTTTTGAAAATGTTTTGTGCTACCTGGGCCTCTACCAAATTTGTGAATTTTATGGCCCCAGGGTCAGGGGTTCTGGTGTCAGGGCGGGGCTCTATTGATTATATAGAGGAAATATATGAATTCTTTGAAAATCTTCTTTACTCCTGGGTATTAAATAAACTAACTAAGTATATAGTTATGATGAGCAAGAATGCCTCTACCAAAATTGTGAATTTTATGGCCCCAGGGTCAGGGATTCTGGTGTTAGGGCGGGGCTCTATTGATTATGTAGTGAAAATACATGAATTCTTTGAAAATCTACTTCTCTGCTCCTAGATTTTATATAATTTAACTAAGTACATAGTTATGATGAGCAAGAGTGCCTCTACCAAAATTGTGAATTTTATGGCCCTAGGGTCAGGGGTTCTGGTTTTAGGGCGGGGCTCTATTGATTATATAGTGAAAATACATGAATTCTTTGAAAATCTTCTTCTCTGCTCCTAGGTTTTATATAAACTAACTAAGTACATAGTTATGATGAGCAAGAGTGCCTCTACCAAAATTGTGAATTTTATGGCCCCAGGGTCAGGGGTTCTGGTGTCAGGGTGGGGCTCTATTGATTATATAGAGGAAATACATGAATTCTTTGAAAATCTTCTTCTTTACTCCTGGGTATTAAATAAACTAACTAAGTACATAGTTATGATGAACAAGAGTGCCTCTGCCAAAATTGTGAATTTTATGGCCCCAGGGTCAGGGATTCTGGTGTTAGGGCGGGGCTGTATTGATTATACATGTATAGTGAAAAAACATTAAATCTTTGAATATTTTCTTCTTTGCTCCTAGGTTTTAAGCAGATGAATTACCTATATAGTTATGAGCAATCCCTAATCTTCAAGAATTGTAAATTTCAAGGCCCCAGGGTCAGTTGTACCATAGTGGGGGGGGGGGCTGTACTTATGTACTGAAAATGAATGAATTGTTTGAAATGTGCTCCTTGGTATTAATCAAATATTTTTGAAAAGCAAGTATGCCTTTCCAAAAATAGTGCAATGTGTGGATCTAGGCCTAAGAGTCAAGGGTTCATGTGTGGTAGCGGCACTACTGATTATTGATGAATATTACTGATTAGTTGAAATGCATTTTTTGTTCCCCTACCCTGCCTATGGGTATAAAGTAACCAAACTAAGGAACTGCTAAGTGTATAGTTATGATGACCAGATGGTAAATGCTATAGCATCTGGCTTAAAACATGGATCAAATTCAGTCACTGGGAAGTTGTTGAATAATGCTCAGGTGACCTATAAGGCCCAGGGGCCTCTTGTTTTTATTTGCATTTCGGGGGGAAAGTGATTTTCTAATAATATTTTGACGTTATTTTTGATTTCTTTAACGTATGAAATACACAACTTCACTCTTATCATGAACAATAATGTTGTATCTACTTAATCATGATGGAACTATTTTGGTCGGACCAATTTGTGTGAGCTGCCGCTGAAAACAATAATATATCTTGCAGAGATAGTATGCATTGATCGAATATATTAAAAATACACAGTCCCATTAAATGATTCAAGAAAATTAATCCACAGGTACAAGTCCTGTCGCATTGATTGAGTTATCCTTATGTGATAATGTAATTCTGAAACTCCTATTGTAGCATTATAAAGCCGACGCAGAAATGCCCTACCTGGTCTTATGGCTCTTGTAAAGAAATTCAGTTTACCTAAAACAGATTGTAATTGTTGGAGTGTCATCTTGCGTTGAACAACGAGATGGTGTAAAATACCCTGTAACTCTAAGCATTTTGAATTGGGGATCTTAACTAGCATATGATAAGTATCTATCTCAAAACCTAAAAATGTCATAACCATAGTAGGGCCTTCAGATTTGTCCTCGGCAATAGGAACACCTATATCATCGCAGACGTCTTGAAAATTCGACATAAGATCTTGACAGGAATGGGCATCCCTCCCAGCAAATATAAAATCATCTAGATAATGATCCATTGTTGATGTTTTAGAGCGCTGTATCGTAGCCCACTGCAAAATTGTAGAAAAATCCTCGAAAACCTTACACGAAATGGAGCACCCCATAGGTAAACATTTGTCTATGAAATAATTACCCTGAAATTTAAAACCCAGGAGATCAAAATCGCCGGGAAATATTGGAA